AAATCCATCTGATACTTCTCCAGATATGATGTTGTAAGTTTGCTTTTATTCACTGACCGTTTTTTCTGATTTGTGATGTAATTGTCATTTTCTACTTTCACGTGATTCTAGTCCAGAGGAAGATTTCGGGAGTCGTCGCTCTCGTTATCGTGATGACGAATCCGAAAGTCGGTATGATCGGTAAGTTGATTCTATAATGTTTAATTTTTCTACTAAATATTTACATCCAATTTGATTGTTTTTGAAAATTTTAGTGATCATCGCTCGAATCGTCGAAGTCGCTCTCACAGCAGGGATTACCATCGTGGCAGTCATAGCAAACGGTGCGTTTTCGTCATTGTTGTGTCCTTTCTCTAATCTATTTACTTATTTATTCATTGAACTTGATATTGGCAAAAGATCGTATCAAATAGACTGGAAATAAGTGACTCGCTTTTGAGGTCTCAACTAGTTACAGTTAATATATGCCGCTTAAAACAAGATATCATGTATTTGTTATCCCTCTTCTCGTTCTCCTTTAGTGTCTTCTCTTGTGTTTAAATTTGAAAGTAATGATTTTGGGATATTTTCTGTCCATGTAAAACGCATTTGCTATTCGCATTCTACCAGAAAAATCCGCATGTGATGCCCTCTTCCAAAGTACTTTCTAAACAGATGGAACTATTTTGGTAGGCTAGATAGCACGGTACTTGGTATTTAGTTTAGAATAAGTTAATTTTTTGCTAATTAGCTTGAAATCAATATCATTTGTCGATTATACTCGATCTTAATGGTGGTGATTTCTCGTCGGATTGAGTGAGCGATATATTTTGAATAATGGCTTGATTAAGTCTAGGTAACAAAGGTTGTTAAGATCCTCTACTCCTCCGAGATGAATTCTAGTAAGAGCTTCTTCTACGGGCCTGATGATGGAAATGACTTTGTCTGACTTCTGGATTATTTTCGCCAAAATCTATCTTTGATTGTATATTGTGGTAGGATGTTTCTGTAATTTTGGTCTATAGCGGAAGTTGTTTAGTAAATGTGTGAGCTTATCTAATTGCTATTTAGTGTAAGTGTGGTTTTTATTTTCATATGGTTCTAGTGAAATACCTAATTTGGCTTTTATAAACAGATATCAAGAAGAAACTGGTCGAGAATACGGTCGCCACAGTGATCGTTCTTCCCGACGACATGGATCAAGAGAAAGGCGCCGCGAACGTTCTCGTGATCGTAGTCAGATTTCATCCATTCCTCACAGGGAGTCTTCGAATGCCCCAGATTCCTCACGTTCAAATCGAAACGAAGCAACTAGGGATTCAAAAGGACGTCGTGGAGGCGAAAAGGAGTCCTATAGAAGCAGTCATCGCAGTGGTCGCCATCGTCGATCACCAGCCCCACGTAGCAACCGATCACCTTCTACATCTCGAAGAGCTGATCTTCCGGAAGTAGGGATTCATTCATCTTCAACGACATCTGTTAATCCACTGGAGGCAGTTTCAGCTGCAGCTGCTGATATTAGTGAGAAACTGCGTCGATCAGGAGATGGGGTTTTTTAAATGTTTTTCACCTATGCAACACTTTGTTTTTCTTCTGCACTAGCCCGCACTTATTCACTTGCGGTGCTTGTTCTGTAAATATAATTATATATGTATTTGCTATTTGTTTGATTTACGCCTAATTATGGGTTTCTGAGCTCATCGATGTCTGCATTCCAGCTCGATTATCACACGTTTCTACTTATCAGTAATCAGTAATGAAGTTGTTTGTGGGTGATTATCCTTGATTAGGTGGATTGATTCCTGCCAGCATATGATATACCATTTCCTAGCCAAGAAAGTGAGGAGGAATAATTGAGTGGATCCAGCCTTCGCAGTGTATTTCTAGATTTGTTGGTGAGCAGGGCATGCTCTGTTTGGCGTTTTATCGACTAACAAAAGGGTAAAAGCCTGTAATAGTTGGCAGTTTTAAAAACACTTGGAGGATTTGTGTAGTGAAATGTGCTGTACTCATTGACTCTAAATGAATTTAATTGAAGGCAGAAACCACTCAAATTGGTCAAATTTACAATAAGTTAGAAAAGAGCATAAATTTCTACTCATTTTGGAAAGCATTGATAGTACCATCAATTATTTATTTCAAATGGAAGGCGTTTTGAAAGTTATCATTAGCCATTTAGCTGACTTCGGGCTTCACAGAGAGGAGGGTGGACATCAAAATGAAAAAGTCGAGGGGGGGGGAACAGAAGAGTATTTCAAAGATGTAAAATAGACAGACGCAAGGGTATAAAAAAGGTGAGGTGAGCACTTTGGAAGTAGTCGAATATGACATACAGTGAGGTGATGGTAGTTGGTTAACTCATGGTAGTTTGAAGTCAGAAGTCAACTGCCGGTTAATAGATGGTAGTTTGAAGTGAGAAGTCAACTGCCAGTTAATAGTATGGTAGTTTGAAGTCAGAAGTCAACTGCCGGTTAATAGGGATCTTTTTGCCTTATGAGTATACGTTGCCCAGGGTGCACCACATTTTGCCGTATGAGTATGCGTTGCCCAGGGTGCACCACGTTTTTGCCGTATGAATATACGTTGCCCAGGGTGCACCACGTGGGCAGTTTGAAGTACCAGTCAATAGACTTTTTTCCGCATAAGTATACGTTGCCCAGGGTGCACCACATGGAGGTTGTAAGTACACGTTGCCCAGGGTGCACCACGTGGAGGTATGCCGTTTGAGTATACGTTGCCCATTGGTTTATAGACTTGTTTGCCGTATGAGTATACGTTGCCCGTCAATGGGGTGATGGTAGTTTGAAGTGAGAAGTCAACTGCCACAATGGGGTCATGGTAGTTTGAAGTTAGAAGTCAACTGCCTTTAATAGACTTTTTTGCCGTATGAGTATACGTTGCCCAGCGGTTTATAGACTTTTTGCCGTATGAGGTCTGTTGCCCAAATATGACATACAGTGGGGTCATGGTAGTTTGAAGTCAGAGGTCAACTGCCGGTTTATAGACTTTTTGCCGTGTTAGGGTTAGATCAACTGCCGGTTTATAGACTTTTTTGCCGTATGCGCATACACAATGACATACAGTGGGGTGATGGTAGTTTGAAGTGAGAAGTTGTGACATATAGTGGGGTGAGGGTAGTTTGAAGTCAGAAGTCCACTGCCGGTTTATAGACTTTTTGCCGTATGAGTATACTTTGTAACATACAGTGGGGTCATGGTAGTTTGAAGTCAGAAGTCAAGGCATACAGTGGGGTCATGGTAGTTTGAAGTCAGTGGTCAACTATACAGTGGGGTGATGGTAGTTTGAAGTGAGAAGTCAACTACCAGTCAATAGACTTTTTTCCGCATAAGTATACGTTGCCCAGGGTGCACCACATGGAGGTTGTAAGTACACGTTGCCCAGGGTGCACCACGTGGAGGTAGCCGTATGGGTCTGTTGCCCAAATATGACATACAGTGGGGTCATGGTAGTTTGAAGTCAGAGGTCAACTGCCGGTTTATAGACTTTTTGCCGTGTTAGGGTTAGATCAACTGCCGGTTTATAGACTTTTTTGCCGTATGCGCATACACAATGACATACAGTGGGGTGATGGTAGTTTGAAGTGAGAAGTTGTGACATATAGTGGGGTGAGGGTAGTTTGAAGTCAGAAGTCCACTGCCGGTTTATAGACTTTTTGCCGTATGAGTATACTTTGTAACATACAGTGGGGTCATGGTAGTTTGAAGTCAGAAGTCAAGAAGTCAACTGCCGGTTAATAGACTTTTTGCCGTATGAGCATACGTTGCCCAGGCTGCACCACTTGGAGGTAATTCTATCGCACACCCATCATAGAGTCTCCTCTGTGGCACTAAAATTCGTCCACCTATTCGGTTCACCAGACTTAGCTGATGTGGTTGCCTCTTCCAATCACAGAGGTGCACGATGGAAACTAATCCTCGATCTCTATCATTTTATACCTACATCATGTTAATTGCAATTAATTTGCTATGCCAAATTTGTGCGATTAAAATATTTACAATTACAGCTGATTTGCATGAAACAATTTCAGAAAAGTAATCAAATCTAAAATGGTTGCACTCTGCTCTAGTATGGCCAATAACAACTTAACTTTCGAATGCTTTACGGTGATGCAATTCTTCCTTTAACAAGTTGGTTTAAAATTTTTCGCATCCATCAGACTTACGATGAGTCTTGTCGTGCAATTAACTTTACACAGGCATTGTTATGCCAAAGTTTGAACATTGAGAGGTGGAGATATTGTATGGCATGTTATAGTGGTTGCATCAGCTGACAAATTTGATTACTGCTTTAATGAAACATTTCCCATTGCTGTTAATAACTTTTATCAATTTCGTCAATCCGTTTTGTCATCGCCTCGATCGCTCTTAGCAAAAGAAGGAATTTCTTAAATCACTCAACCGTGTTAGAACTTTCTTTTACCATTATAGATGTAGTAATCATGTAAACACATCTTGTATAATAGAATTGTTTGGCACACCACATCAGAAATTAAATAACAAGGCGATATATTTTGCTTTTATTGACCGAAAATTCGTTAACATGTTTCGCTTAAATCAAATTTAATCTGACTTTCTCAATCTTTCCTTGAATTTGTTAAACTCGGTGTTCATATCTACTTAATTTATTGGATAACCGTCAATTTTGCTAGTTTGTTGCATTTAAATTTATTTTAATGGGCTGAACACACATGCCATCAGCGAAAAATTCACGAAACAGCACCATCTACTTGCCTGAAATGAACTCCTTCATCGCACTTTGACCTCAGTTGACAAAGATTAAACAATCTAGCGTCCAAGCGGTGTGTCTAGCAGTGCTCTAGTGAAGTGTAATCGATAAACTAAGTGTTCGATTGAGGCTATCCCTGCGATGTCGTATGTATGTAAGCAAAATTAAATATACCGAAAATGTATATTCTCAGTTTCGGGAGTGAGGGCAAGTATTGTCTAGCTTCTTAGTTACATTCAAACTACCTGTAATGGAGTTGGGAACAAAATAGACGCCCTTTCGTAAAACTTTTGAACCTACCACCCCTTAAATATGTAAGGCTGCATTCCTCTGTGCCCGCCAAAGGACATTCTAAGAGTACCCGCAGGAAGGTCACACTTAGTAGGTATTAATTTTTAAAATACATATTCTAATAAAATACCGATTGAAGGTTAATTAAAAGTTATAAACTAGGTTGGTAGACTCATTGGTGTCACCATGGTGGATTTCTATGAGTTCTGTCAGGACATAAGTGTAAGAATCAAAGCGACATGTCTCACCTTTCCGTTGCCTTAATGTCAATGTAATGCTATACGATTTCGAGAATTTCTTTATTTAATTCAAACCAACCTTGTTTCTAATCGCTCTCTATTTCAACTCCTACTTGGTTTTTAAGCTTCTTCACGTGTATAGAGATATTATTCCATAATTAAAACCAGTAAAGTTATTTCGTATTTCCATCGTGAAAAATATTGAACACAATGGTTGAAATAAGTTAAGTAAATTTGATTGGATACTTTCAATACCATGGACGATGCTTAAACTCCGGTGTCAAGATCACGTTGCTTTATAACATTTGCAAGGAAATGCTATGGGAGATCAATAAAAACGTCGGAAAGTTAAGTGGAGTTAAGAGTTTCTTTCCGGGCATTACATATCTCGCCCTTGAGTTTAGAACACACACGTACAACGTTTTAGAGTGTTCGCAAATGTAGTGCGTCCTTGTCCTTATGCAAATTGGAGGAGGACTGATTTTAAGAAGCAAGTAAACAAATTATCAGATAGAATGAATATAAAGAAGTTTCGAAACAGTTGTCGATCAAAAACGATCATCCAATTTGCCTTTTTTGAAAAGAGGATAGTTGATGGGACGATTTTTTAAATTTGGGTAGTACGTGCACTTAGTAATTGCAAGGATCAATGTCATTTGACTCTTATATGAGGGCAAATGGGTATAGTGACTTTTAGTACCAATGTCAAGATGGATGCCTTTCAACACAAATCCACTTATGTAGACGGTTAATTGGGTTGGATAAAGCTGGTCAAGTAAAGAGGTTTGTAGAAGGTAAGGCTTTCCTAAAATTTCTCATTTTATCTACTTCAAGTAATGTCAAAATTTCATTTGATAAGTTTGGAATATTGACGAAAATATTTCGAAATTACCCATATTAGCTAGAAACTTAAACATCGGCCTACTATACTATAACGTATTCTTAAATCTTAAACGTGACTGTCAGAATAGTTGACAATTGAGCTTATGAT